TCTTTGCCCTTTTTTCGGTTTTTTTCGAATTTATTACAATTTTTTGATGTCTTTGAAGTTTTTTTTGAAGTTTTTATGTAGATGTATGTGGAATATGTGAGCTGTTGATTTTGTAATATACCTCATATGTGAGCTGTTGATTTTGTAATGTACCTCATATGTGAGCTGTTTTTTTAAATTTATTTCGATATATTTTTTTTTTTTTTATAAAAAGGGCAAAAGTGTCAATTGGGGTGCGGTATTTAGCAAAAAGGTTGCGGTATTTAGCAATACCCAAAAAAATATGGTGAGGTGCTTCCCAATACCACCGCCTTATAAAAAGACAGAAACGTACTTGCACCCGCTATGTATAAAGTAAAGTGGCAAGTGTGTAATTACGGAAAAAAGTAAAGGCATTATAGTCAAAGAACACCTATTCTTTCTCTTTATATGTAAAGGAGATACATATCTATATCTATATCTATATCTATATCTATATAAAGAGGTTGTTGGAAAAATACATTAATAGAAAGTTTGATCAAATAAATATAATGTTTGACTTACTATTAATGGAAAGTTCAAAAAGACACATGTGAATCTTTACTAACAAAATCTAAATCCTATTTTTTTGGTAACAAATTTGGAGATTCTTATGGCAAAATTTGAATCTCATATTTTTCGTATCTTATTTTATTTTTTTACCAAAATTTAAATCATATTATTTTTGGTAACAAATTTGGAGATTCATATGCAAAACCGTGCAAATTTGATACAAATTTAGGAAGGAAATAGTTGTATAATTTTTAACCAATTCTTCCAATCTTATTGAATAATTTTTTCTTTCAAAAGAATTGTGTAAATTGGATAAAGCCACGTGCAATTTTTATTTTAAAATAAAACTGATATTTGGACGGAATGTACATTCAAAATCGTGTCCACATTTTTTGGTAACAAAAGCTGTTCATCATTGATATTTAAAGTCACCTTATCCAATTATTTAGGAAAAATTATGTGCAACTTTTCAAAATTTAAATACATCGATTTTTTTGGATTCTTATGTTTTTTCTTAACCATATTTTACCGAGATTTCGGTAAGTTCATATTATTTTTATTTTTTTTTTTGGTTAAGTTCATATCATTTTCTTTACAAAAGAGACAGTTGCATAAACATTAACAATTTATTAGAATTCTTTTCAATTCAATTTGTTTGGAACAAAAATTGGTGCAATGTTAGGAAAATTTGGTTGCATTTTTAGATTAAAATGATGATTTTTTTTATTTGGTCTAAAAAAAATCGGATCAATTTGTTTGATAAAAAAATCGGTTTATTGGTAGGAAAATTGGTTTCATTTCCGAAACTAAGTAATGATTCTTTTCAATTTTTCTTAATTGAAATTTAGAATTAGATTTAAAATAAATATTGAGTGAAAATCCTTAAAAAAATTTACTCTTTTTTGTACTTTAATTTTGTTCAATAAATAAGATCTTTTATTTTTTTTTTAAATTTGTTGACTAATAACTAATAATATGCAATTTTGGAAAAATTCGAACACCTATGTAGTACTTTACTTGCCAAAGAATCAAATCAATAATGTTGTACATAAGGAAGTGTTTAATAACATATAAATTTTATTTTCATGAAATTTTTAATGGCAAGAGACAATTTAAATACAAAAATATTTTTTAGAGAATATATATATAATAAATGCTCCCGTGCATCGCACGGGCACCATACTAGTATAAAATTATAAATAGTCCAAGAATGTAAACAACAAAACATTCGCAAGCATCCTCCAGTTCGTCGTGCTCCTGAAATTTCCGGTAAGTTCTCTCTGCAATTTGTTTCTCGTTTTCATTTTCCTATTTTCATTTTCTCGTGTTTTTTGATAAAATGAGGAGGTTGATTGTTAGTAAGAATTGTCGTGTTCGTCGTCCGTATTCGGATAAATATAAGTTTAAGCTTCAGAAGAAATTTTCGTTTGGACCCTCATTTTTACGTTTTCGTCTTCGTGTTCGTCTTTCTTTTGGTCTGCGGGTTTTCGATTATCCAATCCCTAGTCGAATAGTATTGTATATAATGATAGGCCTTCTGATAATGAATAGTTTGAGGGACCTACTCAAGTTTTGTGTCGTCTTCTTCAGATATGGTTCAGTACGTCAATGGAAATTCTATTTCTACTAGTTAACTAGGATTTTTNCAGTTTTTGCACTTTTTCAAAAAAAAAAAAAAATTAGTCCCTGCTATTTTTTATCCATTATTCAGAAAAAAAAAAAAGAAACTTTCGTAACATGCTATATTTTACAACAAAAATACTTTTCACGAGAAGCTCCAGCTGGAGAGAAGCCTGCTCTCGTGAGGACCCACCTTAGGAACATGATCATTGTCCCCGAGATGATTGGGAGTGTACTTGGTGTTTACAATGGCAAGACCTTCAACCCAGTTGAGATCAAGCCTGAAATGATAAGTCACTATCTTGCTGAGTTCTCGATATCGTATAAGCCGGTAAGGCATGGTAGACCAGGTATTGGTGCTACTCACTCTTCAAGATTCATTCCTCTGAAGTGAGAATTGTTTGGTCAGAGCCAGCTCTGGTGGAGCTCTCCATGTGGAGGCATGAGGAGGAAAAACTCTGTTCCGATTTCAATTTTGTGCTATTTTTCTGGCTATCTTAAGCATCTAATCTCATTTCCTGTTATTAGTTGAGGGGGGAACTTGTGTGTGAAACAATGTGTTGGGGAAATTTTATGTGAGGATGTTTATTTTGTTAGACTTTCTTTGGATTGACAAGAACAGTGTCAGCTCTTTTGTTGCATTTGGCTACCTTTTATGGTGGATATGTTTGATTGCATTGTTGTGGAATCTTGAGAGGGTGCTTGGACAAGGATTTTCCAATAAATTCTTAATCACTTTTAATCAGTCACCTTTTTAAATTCAAAGTCTAATTCAAATTTAACTCATCCTCACTTTTTTTTTAATATTAACAATATAATTACGTAATTGGTTTTTTGCACCAAATCTCTTTGTATTATACTAAATGTAAAAAAAAATATTGTCTTATATTCTTTTGTATTTAATGTCTTCCTGACTTTTTTGTCACTATATTATTGACTACATTGTTTTTTCGTAAACTTTATCATTATACCCTTACTTTTTATTGATTTTATCGTTATACTTTTATTTTTTCATTGATTTTACCATTATACCCTTACAGTCAATATGTTAACGTAAAAAAAAGATAAAATCTCAGTGGTGGGATTGAACCCACGACCTTAAGGTTATGAAAAACAACCAGTTATAAATGTGACTTTATTTATTTGTATCATAAAACATAATGAAAATAATATAATAATTGAGTAAATAGATTCTAAGTAATAAATTAAATAAATCAATAAATTGATTCTAAATTTTAGATATTATGATAGTTAAATAAATAGATTCTAAATTATAAATAATATGACCATTGAATAAGTATATTCTGAATTATAAATAATATATTAAAGAAGTAAATAGATTTTAATTATGAATAACATAATAGTTAAATAAATAGATTCTAAATTATAAATAATATAATAATTCAATATATAGATTCTAAATTATAAATAATATTAATAATTTTATAAAAGTTTATATATATTAAGATTTAAAAATACATAAAATAAAGAAAAGCTTATTTATATTATTTAAAGCTTATAACAAAGGATACTTGATATTTTAATTAATAATTTTTTGAATTATATAGCATTTTTTTCTTCTTTTATTATACAGTTGAGATCACCAATTTATTCATGTTTACACTGTTGTTGTAATATATGTTATTATCTTGAATAACGCCGCAGTATGTTTCCACTGAGCTAGTGTTTTGCTCACATCTCATATTTTCTTTTCATGTTGATTGAGTTGGACGTGCACAGGAAGGTAGTGGTCCTCATTTGAATAAATAATCTTTTTATGATTTTAGACAATGATTTTAAGAACTGGGATATTTATCAGACTTGTTTAATTTCTCAGTTGTTTTGGGTATTTGACCTTTGAATTTGAAATATTTATTAAGTTGAGACATCATGTTTACACTCGATTTTATAAATTGAGCATGCTTGAAATTGAGACTTGGAAAGAGAGCTCCTATAATTACTTAAGTGAGAGGCTTAAGTTAAACTTTTAAGTAAAGCAGTTCAACAAGTTTAAAAGTAGAGGTTTCACCATAGTGCCATCGAAGAAGTTAGAAGTTAAATATTTTGAAATACTCTAATTAATTCTGAAAAGTTAGAGTTTTCTAAAGATAAGTAAGAGGGAGCTACAATGCATATATATTCGTCGGGATGCGAAAACAAGACATCGGGATCTTCTGCTGTATGACCAATTACCTGCTCCGATTCGTCATGGTGGACGACTCATCAAATCTCCCAAAGCCCCACAATTTTACTCTCTTAAAATCTCTCGGTTTTATCTAAATTTACAAATAATTCATTCCTGACTAATTGCTTAATTTACCTCTCCATGTTTAAGATTTACCGTACGTTGATTACTGACAATACAATTAATCAACTTCTTGTTCCGAGTTTAGTACCACTTAATTCTTTATCATTATGTCACAAATTAATCCGCTGATCAGGCTTAACATAATAATTCTTCTTGAGCTCATTTCGAAGACGTCATCAACCATGCGGACTGAGACACGGTGACCGTAACCAATTTTTATGGTACATCATACACTCGACATTATTTACCAAAATACTGAGTCTATCGACCTACCAGAATAGGTCTCACCCTTGGTAAATTAAATAAATAAGTACCGAATGCATATGCCCATTTATATTGTCTTACGGGTTAAGAGAACGCAACATTACGGAGGTCCAGAATATTTACTTGGTCAGTATAAAATAATCTTATCCTTCGCATGTTTGTCCAATACATTTGAGATGCACTAGTGTAATTCATTCGTCAAAGACCAACTTGTTCAAAATCACACTACAACCTTTCACGTCAGTTAGTTCAATTTCGTCTAGGCTGTGAACAAATATTTATATTTTACAAGGGCACCGATAATGTGATCTTTCTGTTCGACACGTCGAACCATATTATCTACAATATAAAATAAAGGCATTATGTTCGCATAAATTAATAAACTACGAACATACACTTGACTAAAGACACATCTCATCCAAAATAAAATTGAGAATAATCACAAAGCCGAGCTTTTAAAGTATACTCTAACACTAGAGTCACCCCACTTAACCTTAGCATTTTTCAAAAAATCTCCACTGATTTCTTCATTCAGACCTTTTTATTCTAGCATGAACAAAAAAAAAAACCCTATTCGCCTTCAGACTACGTATAGAGAATCCTATATACAAAATGGTGGACTATACATTGAGCTACTGAGACATGGTGAGAAACTAGACTTTAAGAAGTCCTATTCCGATTCATTGTGGCATAGAAGTACCCCAATTATCCCCTACTCCAAATTGTTTGTATGTAGTATCGATTTTTTGTTTGTTTATCNTTTTTGCGAAAAAAGCCCAAATGTGGGTGGTAAAGCTTTAACAACTCTTCAACATCAGGGATTGTAGAGGTGCTCAAAGTGTCAGAATTAAGCTAAAGGACAAGCAAAGAATAGTCAAATTTGGTAGGCTACTCACATTTGTTGAATTTGGTGGCATGCTGCACTTAATTTGTTGAATCAAAAGTGTAATTAGGCTGCCAATCTTTGACAGAGTTGAGGAATTGTACTCTATAAATAGCACTCAAATCAAAGTGCTGAAACACACCAAGCAGAAGAAGAAAAAGAGTAGAAATAAAAATTTTCTGTGATTGTTAGATTTTTCAGTGAGAGAAAAATAGAGTATTTGAGTAAATCCTGTGAGTGTGAAAAAAATACACCTGGTTGGGTATCAACTCTACTACTCCTTGTTTAGAAGTGGGGTCTCACTGGGTCACCATATTTTGCATTTCTAGTGTAGGGGAGTATGAAAAGATATTGTAATTATCTTGAAAATATAGTGAAATTGTTTGGAGGTTGTCCCGTGGTTTTTTCCTCTAATTTGGAGGTTCCACGTTAAATATTGGTGTCATTTTTCTTGCATATTTTCTTTATTTGGGATATTCTTAGTATGCTCTGTGGTCGCAATTTAATCTGATCTTCCACATCATAAAAGAATTATTCCTGTTTTATTGCAAGAGATTTCTTTTGTCATTCTTGAGTTGCTGAGATTATTATTGTTATTCACCATTTCACGTTGGTGTTTTAATTTACACCTTCCGCATTTGCGCATCTGAGCCCAACAAGTGGTATCGGTGCTCAAGTTGGGCTCTGTATCAACCAGTGTAAATTAAATGGAGGAGAATGTGGGTACTATGGTGAAGCTAACAGCAACAAGTTACTCCATTTGGAAGCAAAAAATGGAGGACATACTTTTCTACAAAGATCTATATGATCCTGTAGAAAATGGAGATAACAAGCCAGATGACGACTGGAAAAAATTACACAAGAAGGCTGTCAGTTTAATCAGACAGTGGGTGAATATTAACATATTCCACCATGTTGCCACAGAGTCGAAAGCCCATACTCTGTGGAACAAAATCAAGCAGATGTATCAAAGGAAGACTGCACAAAATAAAGCTTTCGTTATTAGAAAACTTGTGAATTTTATGGAAGATCAGTTGCAGAACACTTGAATGAGTTTCAAGACATGGTAAACCAACTTGTTACCATGGAGATGAAACTTGATGAAGAACTGCAGGCTCTGTTACTTTTGAGTTCTTTACCGGATAGCTGGGAGACTCTGGTGGTCTCGTTGAGGAACTCTGCTCCTGGAGGAAAACTGACTTTGACCTAAGTCAAAGACAGTATGTTTAATGAAGAAACAAGAAGAAAAGATTTCGGGGCAATAAGCTCCCAAGCCCTGGTCACAGAAACCAGGGGGAGAAGTAAAAGCAGAGGCCCGAATAATAAATCCAGAGATAAATCACAATCTCAACCCAGAAGAAAATTCAAGTGTTATCACTGCGGAACAACAAATCAGAGAACGATAAAAATACCGCAACCCCTGTGATCAATGGGGAAGTGGTGTTGCTCTCTGTTAAAGAAGAAGAAGAAGAGTGTCATGTTGCAGATTCATGTGTTGAATGGGTCATTGACTCAGCCGCATCATACCATGCCACCTTTCACAAGGAATTCTTTTCTCTATATAAAGAAGGAGACTTTGGTAGAGTAAAGATGGGCAACAACAGCATTGCAAATATTGTGGGAGTTGGTGATGTGTGCATTCAAACTGATATTGGGTGCACAATAACACTGAAGGACGTACGACATGTACCTGACTTACGTTTGAATCTGATCTTTGTGCATGCATTGGATCTAGCAGGCTATACTAACAATTTTGGTAGCGGCACATGGAAGCTTACCAAAGGATCATTGTTAGTTGCTAGAGGCACAGTGAGATCGACATTGTTCAGAACTCAAGTGAAGTTGATCAAGGGTGGACTAAATGCAGTCCAGGATGATGCTTCACCAAATTTGTGGCACAAAAGACTGGCTCATATTGGTGAAAAAGGATTGCAAATTT